AGGTGCTCCTAGGCATCAATGGGCTATGCGAGGAGAAGCAAAACATCGAGATTCAAAACAGTATAGTAGAGCTACTAACAACAAGATAAATTTGTGTAAATCTCTAGCAATTAAGGCCGGATTCAAATTTGCGTCCAGCGTGTTAAATGGTAGCTTTTTGGAACCAGAAATAGATTTACGGGATTCGAAAATAACTATGTCACCACTATTTGAAGAATATAAACACCTCTTAACTACTTACGATACGATTAATGATGATGCTATACGATATGTGGATAGATTTAAAAAGCAAGGGATGATTTTCATGAAGAATGTGTATTTTTACATTAGGCAGCGTAATCTCATCAGCATTTATGAGTTAGACAAAATAATATTAGATAACGATGAGCAACTAATATTGATTTGTTTCAGGGTTCTGTCCCGTAAATTTCACGATCATTTGCAGTCATTTGAAGTTAACAAAACAACTGAAAGAACAGTTATCACCAACATTAACATTCTTGAAATGTGTACAATCAATCTGCATAAAATAGAAGAAAGATTGTTATTTAGATGCTGTAATTATGTAAATATAATAAATATTGTTTGAAAACCAAAAAGTATCATGAAAGTTTTAGTTAAACAATAGGGCCCTACTATGTAAATCGAGTCGAGTGACACTTCTGGTCGCTGGTCTATTTTGTTATTACTTCTGTAAAACCAAAATAGACCAGTAAGCAGAAGTGACGCTCGACTCGACTTACATAATAGGGCCAATAAAAATTTAAATATTACGGTAAATCAAGTTATTAGAATCAACAAAAGGTTTCTTAAAAACAAAAAACCATTTTTTTTAATCAAAAAGATTTTTTTTTGTTTCAAAAAAGAAGCGCATCATTGAAATAAAAATAATTGCTTTGTTTCAAAAATTCATATGATAGATTCAAATAAAAATGTTATTGAATCTACTCACAGTCATATGGAAGCTTGATTGTAAAATCAACAAACATTTGCTTTGAAACTAATAACAAATATTGTTGATTCAAAGAAAATTACTATTAGGCCCTGATTCTATAATAATTTTTGTTGAATTCAAAGCGGTTTATTTTTGAATTTAAAAGCCATTTCTCTGCGTGTACTGGGGTGTGGGAACGCTGGAAGGGGAGATGCTGTCTGTCTTCGAACTACCAACATCATTCCAAAGCTCCTCCAGGGCGACAGAGTAGAGCAAACCCAACAACATCAGCCCAACAAAACGGCCCTTTTCAGGGCCACCAAACTTTCGCAAAAGAGTTATTAAGGAATATTCCTAAAATCTAATATACACAATTAAATACAACACATAACAGACATTATCCAACGCCAACCCTGCGGTCGTATCTAGTATACAACCCTTCCAACTTTTTTGATAATGTTGTGGCCCTGAAAAGGGCCATTTTTCCAACGCGCTCGGCGTAGTTGCCCTTGCGGAGCAGACGGTGAATACGACCGACTGAGAACTGCAGCAGCTGGAACGGGCGACCTTGTTGGACGCTTATATAGTAGAACAGAAAATATCAGAGGTGTCAGATACGCGCATCTGATGGTTGGAGAAAGTATAAGAATATACAAAAAATCAATCAATTTTCACCATCTTTAGACAATGGTTTACTTTTAACCATTTTTCAATAGTTTACAGAATGAAATCAATAGTTTTGAAACATTCACAAATTGCTAGAAATATTTCCAATCGATTGATGCCATTATCTCGTAAATCTATCGAGAGACGATTGAGTTATTATCGTTCAATATCTTTTAATTTTTCGTAACGCATCCAAAATGACTGTTTTCAATTTTGTACCCCCGTATGTTGCCGAAAGACGTTATCCAACGTAAAAAAAAAAAAAATTAAGAAGAGTGAATGCCCAAGCGCAATGTGGGCGGAAGCGGAACGGAAACGGAAAGTTTGACAGTCGATTTGGTTCTAACTAGTTTTCAATCCGACAAGTAGGCATACTGGGGCTTCCCTTAGCTCAGTCGGTAAAGGCGCAGCTACAAAGCAAGACCATGGGTTCGATTCTCAGTTCGGTCTAGGAATTTTTCGGGTTGGAAAATTTCTCGACTTCCCTGGGCATAGAAGTATGATTGGACTTGCCACACAATTATACCAATGCAAAAATGGTACAGGCATCGAAAGCTCTCAATTAATAACTGTGGAAGTGCATCTAGAACACTAAGTTGAGAGCACGCAATAAGCTAATATGCGATATGCAATAAGCTTGAAATGCGAACAAGATGAAGAGAAGATGAAGTAGGCATACTCAGATCGGTCTTTACCACTGCCGTTCCGCTTCCGCTGTCACTGCACTGGGGCCTTGAGCAACTCGATTGTCAAGTCCCGTCCCGGCTTAAAGTATGCTTTAATTGGGTTCTTTAATTTTGGAAAATATATCTGTTTTTATATATCATCTGAAAGAGCTTCGTTTTCTGAGCACAGCGATATTTTTTTCGAACCCACACTCTTTCATCTCGATTTTTAAATCAAGATTCAAAGCAAAATAATTACTTCACTGTTTGACACTAAACTGACAAACTGGCAGCTCGCTCACATACAAAGTAACACCGAGGGGCGCGAATAAGGTGATTTTTGCAAATGTAATCGTACTTATTTAAAATAGTTCGAGTGTACCAAAATTTATGAAATTTTGGGTTTGGCTTCCATTTTTAATGCAGATTACGAATATGCATTTACCTCAATACCATTAAAGAACCCAATTGGGTTTTTTACTTTACTTTCGTTTTCTGAGTACTACGATCATAGAGGTAACTCTAAGACCACTGGGTCCCGAAGAAAATCATTATTATTTTTGGCTCACTCAGTACCAGAACAACGGTCCCAAGCAGTCCCAAGCTATTTCACTCACCTCTGCATGTTCTGCATGAATCCACACACCCCTGGTGTTATCTGTCAAACTTTCATAGCGAATCAAAACAAACATAGTTTAGTAATAGAATTTCAACTAGAATAGGGTACGTTAATCGTTTGCTTGGGACCAATAGGCTACTAAAGTGGTGAGCCAATTTAAAATCGTTAGTTTCGTATTGATTGTTGCTACGATCCCGTAGACATTCATCTCGATTTTTAAATCAAGATTTCAATTTTTGATCGTTGACACTAAATCCAAAGCTCGATCCAAAGATGAATACTACACACTTAATCTAGCTCGGTAAAATCTCCAACAGTCGATTACTTCGGCATTCACTTTTGCTGATATCTCTGCAAAATATCTGTTTGTTAGCCGATATCTCAGCAAAATGTTATTTGTTAGCTGAGTCTCGGCAATTGTTTGACTGAATCTCAGCAAAGTAAATTGCAGAATTACTCGGCTGTTGGAATCTCGGCGAAAACATTTAAGTGTGTAAGATGAAACTGTCGGAAGAAAAACTGTCTATTTTATAGCGAATTCGTTTATTATCGGGGTTGGAACCAGTTCCAACCCAGTGCGAAACCGAACTTTTTGTCAATGCGAACCTCAACCTGAGCTAGGTTTTAAAAACAAACGAGCAAACTGACGTTTGTCAGAAAACAAGCAGACCCAATCTTTATACCCGATCCAGGTTGGAACTGCATGATAAACGAATTCGCTATTAGTGTCTTCTTTCACGGTTCCCTTTCATCCAATGAGAACCCCCGTATTCAAGGTAATTTTGTGGTTTTGCTGCCCCCTCGGAAGAGATGAAATTTTGCGCTCATTTTTATTAGAGTCGGTGTATAATGAGTCACGCCAAGAGAAAAACAGTTGAACTCGCATCACGGTTTTCGAAAGATTCCCTTTCTTTTCACTTGGCAACAGAGAACTGCTACATCAACTTCAAATGACTTCTAACGAGCAAAAAAGAATAGCGGCTGTTGTAAATCATTCTATCAGTGATTTTGTCCAATCATCTTAACAAAAAATAGTAGAAATTCTCATTACTGATCGTTACCAAACGTATCCCATCTGTGCTGCCATTTTTCCACCAATGAGAGTGCAGCACATGTTTGAAACGATCGGTGATAATCCTGTGGAGATGTTAATGCTTATATCGGCATGATCTAACCGATTATAAATAGTTTACTTTTCGGTTCGTTAATCGATTAAACGATTATTCGAATGAAAATCGGACATCACTAATGTGAAACGTCATTTCATATATAAGGCCGTTCATAAATAATGATACAATTTGAAAGGGACCGGGGCTAATCACAAATTACGTCTCCATGGTAACTGAAATAAACACGAGTGTTCACCGGTTGCTAAATCTATTCGTTGACAGCTCGCTCACATACAACGTCCCACCAAGGGGTGCTTAGATAATGATTTTTGCTAATGTAATCGCTCTTATTTAAAATAGTTCCAGTGTACCTAAATTGATAAAATTTTGGAGTTCGGTTCCATTTCTAATGCAGATAACGAATATGTATTGTTGGTTGCAACGAGGGTTGCAACTGAAACTGGACTGCTCCAAAGTGCAAAAAGTTTGATACAAATGCACGTTTACGGCATATCGTTTTGTTATCTTCGGAGCACTTATTCTTGCTCCAGAAGGAATAAGTGCACCGAAGACAACAAAACGATTTGACATAAACGTGCACTTTTATCACACTTTTTAAAAAGTGAAATCGCGCTTAATTTTGTCCAGTTTGGTGGGAAAAGCGTAATATTTACCTCAATACCCCTTAACAACCCAATTCAAAATGGGTACATTTTCACCCATTTTCAACCTTGCCAGTTACAGTGAGAGCCATCATCACGGATCGTCGTGAGACCCCTTTTGACATTATGTATTATGATGATGAAACCATCATTAATGTTTTGAAGAAAAAAATTTACCATCAGCTTCGATTTAGTGCTGAAAGTTCTTGCTAAAGATCTTTGTTGAGGTTTAAGATTGTGTATTAGAACAGGTAAATTATATAGTTTATTACTAGCTTACCTAATTAATTACCTTATTTTATGTTATTATTTTCGAATTGTTCTCCCTAATCTCGATTTCAGTGCACACTGGTGATAAAGCAGAGGATGACTTCCGCTTCCAGTAGCAGCGCCAAGAATCTGTTCAGCGATTCCAAGCGCCGCCTGGCCGACCGGGTTGCCGTCAACGTTAACAATGCCTCCTCGGTGGCCCGGCAAATCGTTCGTGGTTCCAAGTCGAATGAAATCCTCATGCAGGCGGCCAAGAACTTTGCCTATCACGAGAGCACCGTAGACAACAGTATTCAGAATCTGAAAAAGATGGAAATCATCTTCCAGCACTTGAACTACCAGTACGAGGCAATCCAGCAGGCAGCGGAGAAGCTGGAATACGTGGAAGAGCAGGTGAATGCCATGGAAAGATGATACGGCTCGGGGGGCGGTGCTGAAGGATATTACTGATAATCTCGATTCGATTCGACCAATAATGATGATGGCTGATGATTGTTATGGTAAACAAACCGCTAGTATCGCATCCAAGCGGCGAGCTCTCGCGTTTGTGGGTCCACGCTATTTCAAAACAGCTCAAAATTGAGTAGGATTTACTCATTGGACAAAAGTGAAGCTACTTAAAAATGTGTCTAAAAGTTGTGAGTGGCAAGTTGACATATGAACAACATCGACCTTAATACGATCGATGTTGTTCATATGTCAACTTGTCAATTATTTTTTAATTTACTCCTTTTTGAGTAGCTCCACTTTAGCAGAATGAGTTAATCCTACTCAAATTTGGGGAGTTTTGCAATAGCGTGTTTGTCATTTGCGCGTTTGTAATGTCAAAAAATTCCGCCAAAAGGATTGTCTTTTTATTTACAATCTGCTTTTTGGTGCTGTTTCAGTTGCTCGTTAAAAATTTTTGTTTGTAAAAGTGATTGAAATGAGGCAATAAATTGGTGTTGTTTGTCGTTGGAAAACTAGGTAGAGGAAAACAGCGTTTTATTTGATCGATGTTAGGTAAAAGATGCCATTCCGGTCAGCTGAAGGGATGGAAACTCCGCGGAGTGAAAATCGGGCATTGACTCGGTCGAGGTATGTGCCAACTCCGAAAATGTCCGATCGAAAGAAATCGTTGTTTGTGACGGAATCCCGTGATTTGGGTCGGAATCCAGAAGAGGACTCGGATCTGGGACCGATGAGTCCGCTCAAGTTCAGCAACAGTCCGAAGAGGGGTCCGATGAAAGGTGAGTTTCACTTCCGCTACCGGTCGATAGTATAGTCGCTATATTTATAGTCTGGCGGATAGAATCTCGGGAACAAATTGAGCTGTCAAATACCGGAACCAATCGAGCATTTCACGATCAACAACAGAAAAGAGCACATCAGCTTTTGTGGAAAAAAACTTCGGGAACCAAGGCTCGGCTACGCAAACCAACATCATCTTCGGCTTGGGGAAAGTTTCCCCTATCCGATGATGCTGTTAATTTGCGTTTGGTTTTGTTTATAAAAGTAGATGGTACCTTTTCAATTGTTGGTCTACAATATATAAATACTATCCGCCAGACTATAAATATAGCGACTATAGTCGATAGGAGATGGTTATAAAGTTTCTTTTTTTTGCAGTGCTAAACATCACTTCATTCCGGAACATCTTGGGGAACGATTCACCGGACAGCGATCGATCGCTATCCCCAGATTTCGAACGTCGTTTCTCACACTCGGATCGATACGAAATCATCCCGGCTACTTACGACAAGGAGAATCAAATTATGGATGAAGAAACCCGTCTGTCTTTTCCTAATGGCACGCCAATTATGCAAGCTCAAGCGGAATCTGCTCTACTGGATGAAACCAACTCGAATAGCTTGTCCATGCTGATGAGTTCGGATCTAAATATCGTAGACAAGAAGAACCCCATTCTAAAGACGCCTGGCCTAAGCGATGCAGCTGGTCAAAAGAAAGAGCCAAGAACTTCCTTTAGGAAGATGAGTTTTCTGGAGAATACTTCCACTCCCACTGATGGCCGTAAGGCTAATTCTTCTTTAGAATTATCCAGCGAGAGTCGAGCTAGAACTTCGCTTTCCTTCAACGACATTCGGCCAATCTCCACCAAGTCGTTCTATTCTTCAAATGCAAGCCCAGACGCTATTCAGAAGCCAGTTACGAAACCCATTCAAACATATTCGTCGATTTCGTACGGCAGATTACCCCAAAGGCGAGCGACGAGCAACCCTCGAAAGCGTCAACCCGCCAAGAAGCGTAACAATTCAATCCGACTAGGAAACTTTAACCGTGGCGTTTTTCACAAAATCAAAAAGCCTACCGTCAAAACGACCAAGGCAACGGTCAAAAAGCTCTCCACCAGTCAAATCCTAGAATCGACTGCTTCTCTGTTGGCGAAGCAACCTCCACCACCAGCCAAGAAACCAGTTCAGAGTAAATCTGCACCCAGTAGTCCGCAGAAACTTGAACCGATGAAGCAGCATATTGAGCGTATCAAGAAGATCCTGACAAGGAGTCGGAATCCGATCGAACTGGCAAGACCGCTGTCGTTGTCCAAGTCGCTGGTGGACCTGGCGAATGGCACGCGGTACGAAGATGACCGAGAATCGGAAGAGTCTGCCAGCGAGGAAGAGCCGGGTGGCAGTTTCGAGGAGGCAAACGACAGCCATGACGACGAAGCCAAGCCGGAAGTTGGAGGGAGAAAGTTCTTCAAGTCCAGCTCCAGCCGGCGGATCAAGCGGGAGTACAAGGTGGTCAACAATGTGTTGGCCACGGTGCGCAAGGGCGGCCAAATTTCGTTAAAACCGACCAAACAGAAGAAGCGGAAGTACCGGTCGTTGTTTGAGGAGGGTAAGTTTGTTCAATGGGTTTGAATATGGCTTTCTGATTTGATTTATTAGGAGAAGTTTGTGTTTGAAAATTATCAGCTTTCAATAACACTTGGTGGATGATCTGGAAACAGGAGTCAACAGAACAGAAATCATTTCCAACGCTTGTTTCATTCTTGATCATTCATTTGCAGAATTCGACTTTGCCTCCGAGCAGCTGGAAGTGGACGACATCATCAACAAACTGACCGGTTCCCAGGTGGAATTGGATCCTGTTTGTACCGGTCAATCCGCTCCCTGCGGGACCTCCGTCACCGAACCGCCTCTCCCCGATAAACCCGAAGCAACTGTACAAATCGAAATCATCGACGCATTGCAAAGCGAAATCAGCAACGACGAACCAATTGCAGTGCAGCCCAACGTTATCTACGTGGATCGATTGTCACCGCTGCTGAACGGAGCCAGCTCTACTTCCGAAGATAGTTGCAGCAGTTCCCGTGAAATCCCATTTCACGAGGATAATTGCATGCAAACAGAATACCAGGAATCTCCCACGACGCAGATCCGGACCATGACCTCGTCGCTGACCATAACGAAAAGCTTCAATAGTAAAAATCGTGTGCACTCGTCTAAAAAGTAGTCAAACTAACCGACATTTCCGATTTCCCAGTTTCAGATCAGTTAAGGGAAGAATCACAGTCGAACCACAGGCTGTTTCCAATCTTCTGCAAAGATCACCAGAGAACGCTTCAAGCGCAATTCCACGCTACCCAGGATGCTTACTGCAACACTCTATTCGATGTAATTCGGAGGAAACCGAAGCGACTGCGAACGGCCAGGGGCGTCGGCTCCAATCAGTACCAGATCGATGCCGGTCAGAAGGAGTACGGTGCCCAACAGTGCCCGGAATGTGGTTTGGTCTACAGTGTTCACGAACCGGAGGAAGAGTTGATTCATGAAAACTATCACAGTTCTTTGCATGTTCTTAGATTCGCAGGTTGGAGCAGCGAAGTAGTGGCAGGCCACATCCCGGAATGGGACATCACCGGAAGGGTGTTGGTCATTGGAATGACTGCCGGAAAGCACAAGCTGCAAAAGGTGCAGGAAGTGTTGGCAGTTGTAGATCGAGAGCTTGGCTTCGTGGAACCCTGCCGGTTGGTCATGGGTTCGGTTGTCTATTTGGCCGTTGCACGCGGTACGATTCTCGGAATTTGTGTTGTACAACCGCTGCAGAACGCCAACCGACTGCTGACGATCGAAGGGACTGAAGGGTCGATCGATTGCTGTACGATGGAGACCTATCCAGCGAAGTATGTTACTCTTCTAGATTCTAACGTAGACCGTAATACTTAGCGTAATTTCGTTTTTCCGCAGATGCGGAATCTCTCGGGTATGGGTTTCGCCTGGCTTCCGTGGCCACGGAATTGCCCGGACCCTGCTCACCGTCATGAAGTCGCACTTTATTTTCGGCTATCAAATGAGCTACGACGAGGTTGCCTTTAGCGCTCCGACGGAAGCGGGCAAACGGTTGGCCGAAGCCGTCACCGGGCGAAAGGACTTCCTCATCTACATGTGAAGTCCCCTCACCCCATGGAGCACCCTCTATTCTAAACGTACCTATCTGTGTTACTCTATGTTTCTATCTGTTATTGCGTAGGTAGTTAAAACTATATTTTTCCTTCAACCATGACAATTACTCGAATTTCAAGCTGTATTTCTTTATATCTATAATTTAACACGTTCTTTTCGGAGCCATTTTTCTAACTTGCAGGAGGCCATACATTGATGAACAAATGTACAAAACTAATAAATTTGATCGTTATTTTTACACCCGAGGCCGATTAGTAGGAGCTATGCCTACCGAAATATCACAGCATCCATGCAGATCTACTTCTTCTTCTTTGCTTGCTTGGCCTTCAGTTTGGCCAACTCTGCTTCGCGTGCCTTGATCATTTTGGTGCGCTGTTTGGCCAGTTTGTCAGCTTTTCGGTGGAATTTGAGGAATTTCATGTATTCCTGTGAAAGTAGAACCCGGAGGGGTGGTGAGAAGGTGGGTATCAAAGTGAAATATTCGGAGACGAGCCAGCCAACGGCTGAAAGTCTCCTTAATAAAGATATATATAAAAAAAAAGTGAAATGGAAATCGTTACCTTATCTGTGATGGGATATTCCGGTGGTTGCTTCTGGATGAAGTGTTCCAGCAGTTCCTGAGCGGTGAGTGGTTCCCGTGCTAGTCTGAAACATAAAGTTACATTAAATGTCTACTCTGATCTGGTTATAAATCTCAGACATTGACATGAGCAGTTCTTTCGGATTGTATTGACCTACGAATGAAGTTTTAATTTGAGATTTAAAACTGGTCTTTGGAAAAATTTGTGAGTTCTACCATTAGGGAGTCAGTTATTCAAAATCTAATACATATAGAAGATTCTTCCTTCTTGTTTAAATAAGCTTTTTCGATAACTTTTAAATATTTCTGAATTCAAGTATTTGATGATGACGACAATGGAAATCTTGGACGGTGGTTACATTCAATTATTCCTAATGTTTCATCGACAGCGTGGTTTAAAGGCTTGGGCTTAAGTCGTGACTTCATTCGCGTGATGAGTAGACTTATGTCCAACCACTACTCGCTAGATGCGCATCTCAATAGAATAAACTTCGTGGACAGCAACATATGTCGGTGTGGAAACGGTTACGACGACATCGATCACGCAGTTTGGCAATGTACGGATAATGACGCCGCCAGAGAGCGACTTTTGAATACCCTCGAGGCCCAAGGAAGACAACCCTATATCCTATCAGAGACGTGTTGGGTACCCGCGATCTCTGCTATACGCAGTCGATTTATGTGTTTCTGCAAATGTCCAGTATAAGAATTTAATTCGTTTGTCTTTTGTATCTCTTTATTAGTTTTTGTTTGTCTTGTCCCTCGTCTCGATGAGCCTCATCGTTGCCCACTGGTCACCATAGCCGGTCGAACTCCAGACGAATCCGAGGGGGGCGACACATCTAAATCTCAATTTTAGATGCTCTATAAATCTCACACTAGCGAATAAATCTTCGAAAAATCTTCTTTCATTTCTCGCATCTACTTGCATCGCGCATCATCTTTTTGCAGGAAATCTTCAAAATCGTGATAAATCTTCTTTTTTTCTACTCAGCGTACGCGCAGCTAGCCACAGCAAAACACAATATTTCCTGCATCGTAGATAGAGTCGTCCCCCTCGGACGAATCTAGAACCACACTACCGTTCACACTGGCGACAACGCTCTGATGAGGCAACGATACCCTACTCCCAAGCTCCTCCCCTTTTCCTATCCTTCGACAATGTACCCCTCTAACCTCGAGTAAGCCGCGAGTATCCGGCCCAACTCCTACTAGACATAGAATTAAGTGAATTTTGTTACAAACAAAGAACAATGAACTATCGGCTCCGTAAAGCTAACGCGATTGAGCCTTACAAATAAACGAACTAGATAAAAAAAGTATTTGATGAGACATAAGAATGTAATTCAGACATGTCAGCAATTTTGTGAGTTTTTTACAGCTACAAATACTTAAAATCAATATCAGACTATTTGCTAACTTTTCGGGCTTTTCAAACATTCGGGCTAGTAACGTTCGGGCAAGTGTCAGTTAAGTTAGTGAAATTCGGGCCAATGGTATAGAGCGATTTTCCACGGAATTGTTCCTCTAGTCCTCCGAACTTTTATCTCAAGTCCTTTGGAATCGTTTTTAAAATCCTCTGAATAAGTCGCTCAAGTCTTCTGGCCTTTATCGTTTGAAAATGTCTTGCAAGTCCTCTGGATTTGTACCACAAGACTTTTGAATTTGTCCCTCTAGTCTTCTAGACTTCTTCCTCAACTCCTCTGAACTTGATCCTTAAGTCGTCTAGACTTGACCTTTGAGTCTGCTGGGCTTGATCTAGAGGTTTGACATCAAGACCAACAATTGAAATGGCCTTAACTCCATTTTGTAAACAAACCTTGTAAGGCCGTTTTCTCGCGAACCGAAGTCCGCAAAGGCAAACCAACATAAAGAACAGGTAGGGTAAATTATCTTCTACCCGATTGTGGTTTAGGTTTGCGAATGAAGGTTTCGGTTTGCGAGGAAATGGTCTTACAAGGATTGTTTACAAAATGTAGTTAAGGCCATTTCAATTGTTGGTCTTGACATGTTCTCTGGAGTTATCCCTCAAGTACATTGAACTGATTACACAAGTACTCTGGACATGGCCTTCAAGTGTAGATACTCATGTAATAGATGTGTGGATATGTACCCCAATTTTTTATCCATACGAGCATTTCCATACGATTTGACCGTTTGGATACATCAGCTGACAATCGCATTTCTATTAGATGATATAAGCCTTTAAATCCACAAGGCCTTGAAGTCCTCTTGAAATGGCCTTCAAGTCCTCTTGAAATGGCCTTAAGTCCTCTGGACGTGGCCTTCAAGTCCTCGTCCTCTGGAAATGGGCTTCAAGTCCTCTGGATATGGCCTTCAAGTTCTCTGGACATGGCTGCCAAGTGCTCTGGACTATCAGCAGGATTAAAGTAAAACACGGACCGATCTCTTCAAACGTAAGACAATTACTAATTTATTGACTATATATTTATAAACAACCTCCTTCACTCCTCCTTAAGCTGCAACGATGGAAGTCCCGTCTTCTTCCGGCAGGTCTCCAGCTTCACCATCGACAACGGTTTTGTCAAAGCGTCAGCGATCATTGACTCAGTAGGGCAGTATAGAACCTTGATGACGTCGTTGCTCACTCATCATTCTCATCAACGTCCTTCATCAGATTCTGCAACCAAAGCAACTCCTAGCAGGCCTCGGATAAAGCCACGCCTCGATCGACGAAAGGTGGTTTGCGCTTCGTCGGATCACTTAGTGAAGTTCTCATCGTTTACTAGGGTAATTCGCACAACAGCTTACTGGCTACGCTTCATGGACAACTTACGGTGTCCAAAAGAACAAAGACGGACAGGTTTTCTTTCCGCTAGCGAGCTGAACTTAGCCGAATAGGCGATCATCCGGAAGGAGTAAGCGGAATCATTCTCGGAGGAGATCAAGCATCTGTCATCAGGCTCTCCCGTTCGTCGAAATTCGCCCTTGCGATGGTTTAATCATAGAGGTAACTCTAAGACTAGAAAATCCCTAAGAAACGTGCTCAACTTTTTGGCTCAGCTCTGGTACTCTCTTCGGTCCCAAGCTAATCGATTCACCCCTCGAAACATAGGAAAATCCACTAACCCCTTATTTTATCTGTCAAACTTTCATAGCGAATCAAAACAAACATTGCGTAGTACTAGAATTTCGACTAGAATGGGGTACGTTAATCGATTTGTTTGGGAGCAATATGCTAGTCAAGTAGTGAACCAATTTAAAATCGTTAGTTTCGTATTGATTGTTGGTTTAATCCTCGAATCGTTGAAAACGGCAACCTGCGAGTATATGGTAGACTCTGTGCCGAGGGGCACGAACGGAAGCTTCACGTAGAACCGCTAGTGCACGGAATAAATGTGAAGAGCATTTATTTCTTTTAATTGATCAATTATCTATTATCTCAACACTTTCCGTTTTTTAATTGTAGGCGTACCAAATCTGTAGTAATTTTTTTCAAAGAGAAAGTTGATTAAGAGGATCAATCAAAATCCCTTGCACCGCTGCTTCCAAGTTTGGTTACAAGATTACAACTCTGGAGAGCATTTTGTGTGGTCGTTGGTGGCTTGTGGTTCTGAATATGGACAAACAGGCACAGATAAATTATTTTCCAACTCTTTACTGATGGCCCTGAAAAGAGCCGTACACAGAAAAAAAAGTTGTTGAATATTACACCCAAACTGCTGCAACCCAGGTCAATCCATCGGTTGTGTAATATAACGTTGTACGATGTACATCGATTTTGCGAACAAAATTACATCCATTGATGTAATATTGTATCTGCTTTTTGCTATTACATCATTATTTCATACATCAGCTTGAATTACATTGATCGATATTACATTTTTTTTGCTGTGTAGAACATAGGCGGACGATTAGTCAGGTCGTGTTCGCAGCGAAAGTACTTATTGGTGATATCGACTCTCCAGGAATCTTGGCCGAATTCGAAATCTACGCACCCGAACGAGTTCTTCGGTCGAGGAGTTTCCTGCATCTTGGACCTCGTGCTGCGAACTACAGCTTGCATGACCCAATACGGTTCATGTCTGGGCGTTTCAACGAGTTTTTCGACTTTAATTGTGCAGCGGAAACCTTTCGTAACCGTATTCAACCGAGTATTCAACGCAGACTCCTGAGAAGGTGAGTAGCTGTTCATTCAATGTACACGTGAAGGATGGTGCTACCTACCTGTTTATTTTTTGTTTCCGGTTCAACTGCATGACGAGGACTTCTACCTGATTCACGGACAACTCTATGCCATGGGAGGATAACTTTTTTAATGCTATAGACTTGATTAATGTTCGTTGTAATTGTTTATTTATTTGTTTATTTGTTTATTTGTTATGATTGCATCAACAGACTAGAAATAGTCCCAATGATGTGTTGTAAAAAAAGTACAGATTATACAGACGACATACATATACTACAGTTACTACAGTTACAAACGAAAATAACTAGGAAAGCATTGTCAAGTTACTAAAAATTTATAAGTCTTAAATTTTAGACTTAGCTGTTGGGCATCAAGCGCCTTCGGTCAGCAAAAAAGGCAGAGAATCTTCGGCGAAGCATATTCCGTGTCAAGTGGAAATCGAACATCGACGCTACTCGGTTGAACACTAGCTGCAAGCCGTAAATAGCGCTCCCTATGCTATAATTAGTTCGAAGAAGTGGAAGTCTCAGCATAAGACTGTTGCGTAGTGATCGAGGTTGAACATTAATGTTCACTTGTTGCAGAATTGCTTCGCAGTCAATTCTTCCTTGCAGAGTATCGGCGACGGTTAAGGGTCTGAAAACATCTCTTCGGATACGTAAGGGCTCGATATTGATCAATTGGCAGCGATTCTCGTAGCTTGGAAGACGAAGTGGGTATCTCCAAGGCAGCTTACGGAGCGCGAAGCGAAGAAAACGTCGTTGAACAGATTCAATTCGCTCGGCCCCATTATTGTAGTTCGGGCTCCAGACAGCAGAGCAGTATTCCAACGTAGATCGTACGAGAGAGCAATAGAGCGATTTCAAGCAGTAAATGTCCGTGAAGTTCTTAGTAATCTTGAAGACAAAGCCAAGCGTTCTGGACGCTTTGTCGACGACATACGATATATGGTGTGAGTATGTCAGCTTTGAGTCTAGAAAAACGCCTAGTCTTTCACGCAATGCACCCGTTCGTAGTTTGTAGTTGAAAATAATCGGTTGTTTCTTGCGTGAGAAAGTAATAACTGTACACTTTGCTGGGTTGACCACCAGTCGGTTTAGACTACACCAGTCAGCAAAGATGTCAATCTGATTTTGGAGAGAACGGCAGTCGGCGAGTGAGCGGATGCGCAGAAGAACTTTCAGGTCGTCTGCAAACGATAATCGTGGCTCTGTGATAACATGGTGAACGTCGTCGAAGTAGAGTAGAAATACCAATGGTCCCAGAAGGCTGCCCTGAGGTATACCGGACTTTGCGTAGAAGCTTGCTGAGCGACAAGTACCCAAAGTTACTGTCAATTGGCGCTCCGTGAGGTATGAACGAAACCATCTCAAAAGATTTCCACCGATCCCTAGCCTATCAAGCTTAGCGATCGCAATTTCGTGGTTCAGCTTATCGAAGGCTGCCGTAAGATCTGTGTAGATAACGTCCGTTTGGGTCCGAGCAATCAAACTGTCTGTGATGTAAGACGTTAGGCACAGCAGGTTCGTAGTTGTGGAACGCCCAGTTATGAATCCGTGTTGATCTGTACTTAGATATCGCTTGCAATGCGCATTTAGGGACTCTATGACAACCAATTCAAAAAGTTTTGATACAGCACTCAGCGACGTGATTCCCCGGTAGTTGTTTACGTCGCGTTTGCTTCCCTTTTTATGAACGGAAAGATGCCGCTGGAAAGAGAGAGCTGGAATATGCGGCGCAGTGGATCTAAAAGACAAGTGATATTCTTTTTAAGAATAATCGACGGAACACCATCGGGTCCAGCCTTAGTTGGAGCCTTATCTGTAGTGGCTTCGACCATGCTGAGCGTTTGGTTGATCAAAGGAACATTACTGGCCGCGGAAGTAATGATATTAGCGGAGAGTTGCTCGGCTTCAAACACACTAGCAAATTTGGCTGAGAACAGGTTGCAAATGTCTTGTTGATTTCCAGCAGTTTCACAAATAAAAATCATGGAAGAGGGTAAGCCGACTTCCCTGTGTTGCTCATTTACGAAGTTCCAGAAGGATTTCGGGTGTGATTTTAGCCGCCGTTGAATCCTCCTTTGATAGCGTTGAAAACAGAGACGACTTAACCGCTTATACCGAGGGGGGCGACACATCTAAATCTCAAGTTTAGATGCTCAACAAATCTCACACTATCGAATCAATCTTCGAAAAATCTTCTTTCATTTGTCGCATCTACTTGCATCGCGCATCATCTTTTTGCAGGAAATCTTCAGAATCGTCATCAATCTTCTTTTTATCTACTCAGCGTGCGCGCAGCTAACCACAGCAAAACACAATCTTTTCTGCATCGTAGATAGAGTCGTCCCCCTCGGCTTATACTCGTGGTTGAGTCTGTCATAGTAGCATGTCAGTGGCAGTGTGCGGAGTTTAGTAAATCTTCTGAGAGTAGCCTTCTTAGTTCTTTTCAACGAGCGAAGATCTTTCGTCATCCACGGGACGCGAGAGTCGATATGGATGATCTTTTTGGAAACGTGTCTGTCAATGACATATGCCAAGACGTGTGAAAAGGTTTGTGCAGCAATGTTGACGTCTACAGGATCTAGAATATGCTCCCAATCTAGGTTAGACAGCACATGGACGATACTGCAATGGTCAGCTCTACGGAAGTCATATGACACAGCGTTTGGAGTGCTGGTGAAATCATGGACAATATTATTTTCGATCACGATAACTAAAGCAGGGTGATGATGCACTACCTTGACTAAAGGTTCGGGTGCCGTGGAGAGGAAAGGAGCTGTATCACGAGCACTCACAAAGCAGAGATCCAGGGTGCGGTTGTTTTCATTCAACAGGCCATTGATTTGTGACAGAATTGCGGTACTATAACTGTCCAGGAGCTGGATGGTTCCTACGTGGAAAGATGAACGCTCGTGATCAGGACAAAAGAAACCACTATGGGTTGGAGTCCATGCAATGTCCGGTAGGTTAAAATCGCCAAGAACAATAACTTCGTCGGAAGGGCCTGCTTTTGTATTTTATTATTGTGATTCATGTATTTCGAAAAGATATGGGGTTTTTACGCCTTTTCTAGGCTTTTCCCCATCAGGCTTCATTTATTTGACACGTTAAGTCCGATGAAGAAAAACAAATTAAATAAATAAATAAATATCCTTATTTATAACTACAGTCAGGAATCCTTATTGCCGGGGTAACGGGGGCGTGAATAAGGAACCGCGAATAAGGATACCCATAGCTTATGGGATTTTCACTAATGGGGGCTGTAGTGGATTATCTCATTTGTTTCAATACATAACGCTATACTGTCTTCGACAAAGTTGCTGTACTGGGTTAGACCAACAAGCCTGTGCCATTGGATTAAGGTTAAATTGGGAACTACGCCGCTAGAGGCGCTTCACTTTTATGTTACTTATGACGGGTGCTATAATATACACACTTAATCTAGCTCGGTAAATCTCCAACAGTCGATTACTTCGGCATTCATTTTTGCTGATATCTCTGCAAAATATCTGTTTGTTAGCTGATACCTCAGCAAAATGTTATTTGTTAGCTGAGTCTCGGCAATTGTTTGACTGAATCTCAGCAAAGTAAATTGCAGAATTACTCGGCTGTTGGAATCTCGGCGAAAAAATTTAAGTGTGTACAGGGTGTTTGGTTCCGGGTTTTACATTTTTCAGGGTAGATAGGGCTTCTAAAGTTATAAAAAAATCCCCATGAAACATAGGGTCGGAAATGACTGCTAAGTGAGTTATTCAACATTTTATGTTTTTTTTTGTATTGCCAACTTTGGTTAGCTATATTTTTTTAATCTTAATGTGGTTTTCTGATTTCAACATACCAAATGAAAGATTAAAGTCTTAGCTATCAATGCTCTTTGAAAAAGAACTCGATTCAAGTTAATTATCATACATTAAAATTGAAAAGTATGTTGAAAGTACCAAAAAAATTGGTGAAATTTCATACATTTTAGTGTTTTTAAGTTGAAAATTTTCATTTCTGTTTATTTAGTTGTTCTACAAAAGATTTTCCATGCAGTTCCCTAGATTTGTGCCTTTGGTAGTAACCTTGTAGGCTTTATGGTTTCTTCGTAATTATTGATTTAAAACAGCCATAAAAACTTGTGACGTTTTCATAAAATGCGCTATAGTCACCCTATTCGTTCGTACGTTCGGCTGTTGCAGTGGACTACGCACATGAAAATTTGTTAGAATGTTATTGTAAATTTTTAGCTACATTCTTAACTTTTGATTACCGCACATCTCCTGCGCCGAAAGAAAACATTACTGCGGAGATGTTTCGCGGTATCGAATATTGCTCAGTCTCAGCAGAAAACACAACGAGAGACACCGAATCTGCGAATTCTGAGAGCGGAAAGGAGAGAAGTAGGTAGTGGTAATAAGTCGATGTCCTTTTTATTTCATAGCACTCGCAGCTCAGCTGCGTTGCTGTTTTGATGGAGGAGTGTGTATCTCCGCTGCTTCTGTATACACAATTAGTTTTTTTGCAGGAGTCAGTATTTTTTACTGGATTTTTGGATTACTGAAAAACTCGGTTAAAATTCAAATGACTGTTTTTCGTAAGGTTTGGATAAATCGATTTTTTTTATTTTTCATCATTACACGGGGTTAACAATAGTTAGTCTGTAAATGTTCGTAACACATTTTCTCAACTTTGAATTTTTCACAGATTTTTTAAATTTTACCGAAGAGTTCCGCAATTCAAAAACTCGGTCAAAATTACTGACTGGATAAGTGTGTACTGATGTATGGTTGGTGCGAGGGGGGCGACACATCTAAATCTCAATTCTAGATGCTCAAAAAATCTCACACTAGCGAATCAATCTTCGAAAAATCATCTTCCATTTCTCGCATCTACTTGCATCGTGCTTCATCTTTTTGCAGGAAATCTTCAAAATCGACATCTTCCATCTATCTACTCAGCGTGCGTGCAGCTAGCCACAGCAAAACACAATCTTTATTTTATTTTAGTTATTTTACATGCAGTTCCACATATGTTATGAGACAGATATCAGCTTTGAGCAGTAATTTCAGTAATTGACGGTTTGTCGGTGTTTTAAAGTTGGAATTTTTTTTACTAGTCTCGATTATTTTACCCAATCCTTAGGCTGTGAACCATTTGCCGAGTTAAATTTAACTCGTGGTTAAAAGTGACATTTCGATAGTTATTTCTTATGCTCGAAAATCCCTGTGTTACCAATCGTTCGAGCAGAACTCGGCCACGGTTGTCAAAATTTAACTTCTTGTCTGTTAGAAATAACCACGATCGGATAGCAGGGTTAATCGATAACTCTCCATCTGTCAAATTTTAACCAAAAGTTAAAAAATCCGTCAAATGGTTCAGAGCCTTAGGGGAAATTTTTTTTTTCAAGAACCAGAAAGCATTTAACGGAAGTGCAGTTTTAGTGGATGCTCAGTCGCTCACTTACCTCATTCGCCGTCTAATGCTCAGCACCTGACTCACGCATCCGAGTATCTGCGCCGGAGAGTATCCCCTGGAAACCATCGACAGCGACGAAAGGTTAAAGTCCTTCCCGATTCCGACCTTCCTGTTCATCGCGTGTCTCCAAAGCATCTGCGTCGATCCGTAGTCGGTTTTCGGAATCAGCAAGAACTTTTCGAAGCACTTCTTGAACTTTCCCATCTTGGCCGTCCACGGTTGGCTGGACGTGCCAACCAGTAGGATCTTCTCGTCCTTTTTGATCTGTTTGACCAGTTGCTTGAACAGGTACATTCCGAGCTTGGTTGGATCCAGTGATTTCTCATCCGGTGGGACCTTCTTGTAGAATAGCTTGTGTGCTTCGTCGATGCAGATAACGGTGGGTTGTAGAATACGGGCCATCTTCAGTACCGTGTGCAATAGTAGAGGAATCTGTGCTGCTGCAACCGGGGCTACGGTCTCGACACTGAGGTCGAACAGGACCGCATCCGTTTCGCTGCAAATGGATTCCACTAGCATGGTTTTCCCGTAGCCACGTGGTCCCAAAAGGCAGAATGATTTCGGTTTCGATATAACCAGTGGACCCATGCCGAATAACCAAGTTCTGATGATGTCTCGAACTTCACCCATAGCAGCAGGAGGATCCTGCTGCAGATAGTTTCGCTTCTCAAACGCCGCATAGTTGTAATCACCTATGAAGTCTTCCAATTTCCTTCTTTTGTACTTTCGGATCACGTTCTTCTCAACTAACTCTTCGTAGAGTGAATCGATTGTCCTGTCAGCCGTCAAATCCGGTGCATCCTTCTTTTTCTTGCCTTTCCCTTTACCCTTGCGTTTCTTCTTTTCCTTCTTCGGTTTTGCTGGCTTGTACTTCTTCTTACTATCCTTACATAAGGCTTTTTGAAGCAGCTCTCTTTCGCCACGAAGCACTTCATCCACGATCGGGCGCAGCTCTTGGTGAAGTTCGGCAAATTTATCCAGCGTTATCCAATCCATGATCGGTAGCTCATCTGCATTTTCCAGTTCGTCGATAAAGAACCAATCCTTTTCGTAGCGCTCGATTGTCTCTTCGATTGTTACTGAGAATAAGAAAATTTTAAATTCCGTTAATGGCTGGATGTAGTTCAAGAACACTTACTGTACGCATTAGTAGCAAATTCCGGTTTCCTGAAATCGTACGTTTTGCCTTCCTTCTTTTCCCGTTCCTTTTCTTCGCGCTTCAGCTCTTTCAGTTGTTGTTTTACCGCTTTCTTCTTTTCCTTCTCTTGAGCTTTTGTCTTTTTCTTGGCTTCGGCTTCTTTCTTCTTCTGTTCGACAGATTTTAATTTATCCAATGCTTTCTTTCTCTGAACCTCTAGGTATTCATCCGGTGTCAACGATTCTCCCTTGATCACCAGTAACGTTCCCCCTTCCCAAACTTCCGGATACCGATCGAAGGCATGCGCTCGATCATAAAACTCTCTGAACCACGCCCGAATGTGATCGGATATGTCCTCCATGATCCATGGCCCACGCTGTTGCAGAATCCGCGTTTTCTCGTCTTCGACTGCCTTCAAAAACGCTTCATCGAATTCTAGTCTTCGCTTTCTCCTTTCTGATTCAGCTCGTTCGATCCTTGAACTTAGATCCGGACCACGTTCCATCTCGTCGATCATTCCCAAAACCACATACCTGTGGTAGCGCTCTTGTATAGACCGCTTTCTCTCATGGTAACATCTCCAGTACCGTTGGATCTTCTTTGCAGCTCGATTCTTGATCATTCTCTCGATTAACTCTTCCGTATTGTCAGCTTCTAATTCGTCTTCTTCAACAATCGGATCTGGATTTTTCACAACCTTCGGTGGCAGCTCCTGATCAATTTCTTCAATCCATCCGGCTGGTCTATAGTACGGAAATGCCACCACATCCTTCTTCTTTATGTAGTAATCCCACGTGTACACGGTCCGCTTGACGGGGAACAACATGTATTGGTCCGGTTTGTGGTAGAACTCGTACGAATATTCCTGGATGGAGCCCTCCCGCGTCTTGGGATAGAAGACCTTCGGATGCAGTCGAAAGTTCAGATGCACGATCCTCGCAAGACGGGCCTTTTCGTGGGCAAGTATAAGATTTAGAGCTGCGACTCGCTTCTCCTTGGCGCGATCGCGTTGCTTGATGGGACGTCGTGGATCCGGTGGAGGTTCATCATCGCTTTCGGAACTGCTGCTAAGCTCTTCGCTCGAACTGCTTGTCAGTGGCTCCAGGGTTAAGCTGGAAGTCAGCGCAGCATGTTGCTCTGTTCTTCCCAGCGGAAAGTAGCAGGGTCGTAGAGCTTGAACATCCTCGGGGATCAGATGCAGCTCTCGCAGGGCACCGTCAATGTAGGTGAACTCACTGAGCTCAATCTGCTTGAGTTTTTGCTGTAGCTCCAGCTTTCGTTGACTGGCCGTTTGCGCCAGGGATTGGATGACCGCTCGTTTCTGAACCTGCAGCGTTTGATCGTAGCAACGATCGAGCATGCGACAGAGGTGAACATACCGGCAGAACAGTTCGGATATGATTTCGTGGACGACGCGCGTGTCTTTGGTGGGTTCGAAGTGCTGGACGAGCTGCTCCTGCAGAAGCACATCTTGAAGCTCGGTTTTAGTTGCGAGCCAAAATTGGGCTATCGCTTGCTGGGCCATGTGTGGATGATTTTGACTGATGTCCATTCGAGGCTTACTAGGATTGTCTCATCATGAAAGCATCGACACCCAAATAGCGAATTTGTTTATTATCGGGGTTGGAACCAGTTCCAACCCAGTGCGAAACCAAACTTTTTGTCAGTGCGAACCTCAACCTGAGTTAGGTTTTAAAAACAAACGATCAAACTGACGTTTGTCAGAAAACAAGCAGACCCGATCTTGATACCCGATCCAGGTTGGAACTGAATAATAAACAAATTCGCTAAAAGAAACAGACAATTTAAGATCAACCATTGAAAATACCTCATTAGCCTTGCAATTTTGCAAGCCCAGTACACCATCAAGCTTCCCCTATCCGAAAGTGTTATGCGTAGACAATCTCCGATTCACGAGAAAAGGTCACAAGAAGTTTTGTTTACCAAAAGCTGATGAGGCCTTTTAAATTGTTGATCTTGAATTGATTGCTGATAAACATTTCAAAAAAATCATCAACATTGATTACCCACTTGTCGATTATAATGTAAACCACTGTACCGCACATATTGAAACAAATTGTATTTACTTTTCATCAGCATTCCCCTCCCCATCATGTGAATCCACCAAAAAGAATCCATGCTCCAACATACACACTACACACGCATGCTGCGACGTTGCTGTACGGTCAATGAGATCGACCCAAATTTGAGTTTAGTTTACTCATAAATCGCAAAAAGTGCAGGAACTCAGCGCAGAGTAAATTTTTCTGAATTTTTCCAGGTTTTTCCAGGAAAAAAAATCCCGAATATGAGAAAAGTCAAGATTGGATTCACTCAGTCTATTGGTACTACTCCTAGACTGAGTAAAATTTTCGTAAAATTTTCCTCATTTTCCGGCAGATTTGTTAGGTTTTCCACAGGAAACCATGAGGCAAACTTACTCATCGTGGAGCTCCTGCACTTTTTTCGATTTGTGAGTAATCTAAACTAAACTCGAGTTGATCTCATTCGCCGTGTAGTAACGTCACAGACATGCGTCAGGTAGGCGGGCATGGCATACGATGAAAATGTAGATTAATTACATGATCGAGCAGCGTCTCGTACAAACAATTCACTTCGTTATTTATCAAACGTTCGCAAATTGTCGGTTATAATGAAGAAACGCACATTTTGTGGGACGTTATCGATAATGAATCGAGATAAGTGCATTATAAAAGTAATGTTAACCAGGTTGTTCGTATTTTTTTGTAGCCAGCTACCCGAGCAAAGTCGGTTAACAAAATGAAAGCAAATCGATATTAAAGTGTGCAGTTCCTATCATAATGAAAACTCATTTTGATTTCAAATGTTGCGAGATAAGTCTGATATCATATTGTGCTTTCATTATGCAGTCAAGACGTTTTAAATGAAAGCAACTTAACTTGAAGTTCTGCTGTTTACGTCTTGTTTAAAATTTAATTGAAATTCATCTGTCGTTGAACTAATGATTATCGTTTATCTGATTTGTTTAACACATTTTAGGTCATTCGTGACTTGCCCGCGGTGAGATTGGAGCCCAAGTCTTTCAGCTTGAGAAACATGAATGGTAACCATTTACTCTAGGCCCGTATTCAGTTAAACATTATGAATGCAAAATCAGTAATCAAATTGATTTCATTGAAAGCAGGATTAGTTTTCCGTTTGCTTCAACAGTGTAAAATTTTGCTCTCATTTTTGCTGTGTTAACCGTTAAGTCAACCAAAATGAGATCAACTGGAGTATTCAAAATAAGTTACATCATAACAGCAAATTTTGATTTCAATTTGATCTTCAGCTTTGCTCGGGTAACGCAATTGTTGATTTTTGCTTTGTGATCATCAATCTTTGTACGATTATGATTAAAAAACATACAATCATGTGTCCGCAATAAGCCAGTCATGAATTTGGTAACAAGTTCAATACCGTACGTCCCACATGGAATGATAACTTTTATGGTGCTCTTGAAATAAATATCGTATTTCGTAAAGAATGCGGTAAGGGAAGTCTCAAAACGTAATTTGAAATATTCGAGATATCAGATAAGCCTTTTCTAGCTGGGGGATGTTTCATTTTAAATTTACGCATAATTTAAAATTACGATGTTTAAATAACCTGACTGCAGAACTTAGGGACCATTCATAAATGAGGTAGCATATTTTTGACAAATTTAAGACATCCCCATTATTGGGGATATATATATATTGGGAAGTTGGACACGCTCAAGATTTCAAATTCACCCAAGGGCGTTGCCAGGTTTCGAACTAAAGGGTGTGATTTTTTTTTAATTCGAAGGATTAGACCGAATGCCAACGGCTTCTACCATATAGGTAACTCTAAGACCAGAAGGTCCCGAAGAAACGTGCTCAACTTTTTGGCTCAGCTCTGGTACTATCTTCGGTCCCAAGCTAATCGATGCACCCCTCGAAACATAGGAACGTGTTTACAAGATAACGGTCGTTCGTCCATTCTCGAGGAGAGGCCTTTTGATCGCCGAGAGCAATGGCGGATCTTCTATTCCACGCTGATTCTTCCAAGAATGTTTGATGAGGATAGTGGGCCTGGACTCGGATAAGGTTTTCTGTCCGTGTGGATAACGCACACTGCACACTGGGCCAGGAACCGAAATTAGCAAGACAAAACCTCTAGCGCATTGGGTTTGCATTATGTTGAAATGGTGTCTTTCGCAAAATTTCTCGGTTTAACATGCGCCTTCATCTGGTAATGGAAATAAGTTCAAATTTCCTCCGCATAGATGGTGCTGCGATACTAACTTTCTTATTTCACATGACAGAGGTTTTATGTCTTCGGCAAAGTTGTAGAACATTAAAAAAATATTTAAAAAAAAATGCCACAGGACTCAAAGTTGTAGGTCTTCAAATAACAAAAATATAGTGAATATTGTAAAATTTAACCGAAATTTATGTTTTTTGTACTATTTTCCATACAAACGACAATTTTTTCATTTTTAACGCCGTGTATCTTTTAAGTCGGATAATTTGCAAGTTTTAAGGAAGAGTTCCCAATGTTTTGGGTCGATACAAGCGAAATATTAGCCAAAATAGTGAAAATTACCATGATTTTCATAATCCGGTTTCCCGAAAAGTAGCAAGTATTAGCAAAAAGTCATTTACTTTCTGAAATGTACCATTTATCATCAATCAAAGGTGAATGTTTGTCGGACATATAATCTTATATATATGAGATATATGAATTCATAGACTACAATGCTTATTCATGCAGCGTTCGCACGCTGCATATTTAAATCTGAATCTATATTCAATGGTTGTAGTAGCTTATTAAAATAATTACGTAGGCCCAAATTAAACATTTTGAAATCTCCTGTGAGAGGAACTTTCAAAAAACTTCGATTGAACAAATCGTACGCGAATTGTAATGAAGCTTTTATACAAAGAGTATAACACACATTTTTCCTCGAAGACATGATATGAGCATACTGCTTAAAAGCTCTGTGCTTAGCTTCATATCTGAAACACATCATATCTTCCACTGGTCCTGATGCAGTGATAACCGAAGGATAATGCACGAGAAAGTGGTGTTTAGGCTTAAGTTCTCTCTTAAACAGGTCAACGTACATATTATGATGCATGTTAATTAATCGTCGCAATTGATCAATCATATTTAATGAAAATGTACTTCTTAGGCAGAACTCAGTTAATTTTACTAGCGTTATGCAGTACTTCCACACCATGTCATCGTTTGGTACAAACTTGCCAATAATTAAAGTAATGTAATGTGTCAGTACACGCGTTTCACTAGAAGTTAGCCGTATATGAACAGTTTTGCGCTTTTCCTTACTGTTATAACCTTCAACTATATCTGGCATTCGAGAAAGTTCGCTATCTATACAAATTTTACCAAAACTTTTTCTGTGCATATTGAAGTCATTAAGCGTGAAGTACTTTTTGCTGTAGATACAATAGTCTAAGACTTCAACTAACCCGTATTTGCAAATACCCGAACTGTACAAGTCGTGCATCGCATCAACACTTAAATTTTCCGGAACATGGAAAGATGGAAGCTCGTTGAAAACCGTATTACCGTGTATTCCTGTTTCACTAGGCTGTCCTAGTTCTAAATCCAAAGCATAATCTTGTCGTCGACGGAGGCAATCAGCATGTTCTTGACAATCCGACTTTAAAAGCACTTTAGGCCGTCTGCAAAAGCGGCAATAAAATGTAGCATTAAATCCATTCGCGAAAAGCAGCATCGAGTGAACACCCAAATTATCGCCTTGTATCAAACATAGCACAAATCTAACTAGTTTTGTTTTTCCATCAATAACAATATTAATTCCTTTACTCTCAATTCGTTTGAATCTATCGACTAAAACATGCATAAGCATATTCATACCTACTACCTTGATATCTGATTTCTTAACCATTCCAGCCACAAATATGTTGCATAACCTGGATTTGAATTCCTTGGGTATTGTAGGGAATTAAACACTGTGCCTATTACTGTGTGAACTTTGTGAATCGTTGATTTCATATTCATCGGCATATAACCATACAGGCAGCACGTATTCATTTTCATATTTTTGTTCAATAGCTTTCCATGTACTTCCATTTATGTAATTTGAGATTTCAGTCGATTTTTGTAGCTTTTTTGTATTCTGTAACGTGGTTTTTAATATATCATTGCATTCAAAAAAAGCTTTGATTTGGAATTCAATAGGCATAACAATCAAATAATTACTTGCATGTACTCTTTCCCCGTCGTTTTCGATATCTAACAATTTTGAAGCAGTATTGTCACTTTCCTCTATTGTGACTATCGTTGGTAGTTCAAATCCTACACTATTTTTCAAATACTTAAAAAACTTATGATCTGTACTTATTAAGTCAAATATGGTTTTCATCTTATCAATTTGTTTCTGAAAGTTAAAACTATTTTCTGAATCAGTTATGTGTTGTTTGAATTTTTCTAACTTATCTGCTATTTCTGAAAACATGAGGCTTATTTCATTTTGAATTTGATAGACATCCT